CACACACATACACACACACATAATCCTTTCAGACATGCTACAATTAGCATGCAATGCTGTGAAAAGGGAGGTAAAAGGAAATTGAAATGTTGCAGCTTCCTGTCTCTGATGCACCCAGCTAATGATTGTGTTGATGGGAAAGGAGGGAGCGAGGTGGAAGCAGAGATGGAGAGAGAAGAAGGGGGGGATCTTGCATGTCTAACCACAGGCTGCCCTCCCTGAGTGCTATTCCCACTGCCAACTATCTGCTAATGAGTAGTTTGAGCAGGATAGATTCGCTGCACCACCACCATTACCACCTTGTGGATGAGCATTAAGAAGCCGTATGAGAGCTGGCACAGAGCTGACATAAGCCCTCACAGCAGACCATTAGAGGCTCACAGCTGGGCGAGATAGCTCCCTGACTCACCACATTTCATCCCATTTTCTTTTATATCGCCCTCCCTGTCTCTCTGACTTGTGTTCTCTCTCTCTTTCCTCCTTATCTGTGTCAAATTTGCTCTCTCCCTCATCTTTTCATCTTTTTTTTGTTAATTCCCCTGTGCCCTTTGTCAACACACCTCTGCATCTGCCCTCCTTACTTGCCCTCATGCCAAAACTCCTTCCCTCCAGGACCTGGAGGAGGAGCTGGAGCTGGATCGAAGGCGTGTCTCTGAGGCAGAAGGCGTGGCTAAACGGGCGGAGGAGGAGCTTACAGTCGCCAAGGAGAGGCTGTTGCTGCAGGAAGATGAGCTGCAGAGCAGAGCAGGTAGTCATCCAGTCTGCCTGTCTTCTCACCTGTCTGCTGGAGAAATGCTCACATCTGTGAAAATCAGCTGAGCACAGTGCATTTCCATTATTCATTCTGACTCAGCGTTAATTAAGTTTTCATCTCACGCCGTTATAATATATACAGAAAATGCAACAAACACACATTATTCATCTTCCACAAAGGCAAACAGTTTCATCAAAGTGTCATCATACCCAGTCAGCAAAAATGCCCCGAATTTTATTTATTGCATGAAAATGATTTTTGTTTTAGGCACTTCCATTATTCACTATCTGTCAACTGTAAGTCTATTCTGCTTCTTTTATGCATAATCAGTCAATACATGCACGTTTGGGTGTGTGCATGCTTGTGTTTATTTTGGTGTTTGTGCTGGTGTTTATTTGGTGTGTGTTCTTCGTGTGTGTGTGTGTGTGTGTGTCAGAAGAGCTGTTGAATCGTGGAGGCTGTGAGGTGTGTGTGTGCACTGAAGTTGAGGAACTGAGGAGCCAGGTGAGCCGCATACAGAGTAGGAATAGAGAGCTGGAGCTACAGAGCAGCGGCCGAAACAGTGACCACGCCCGGCAGATACGCCAGGTAAACACACACAAAACGAAAGTTACAAGTACATATAGGTAGGAATTAGGTAGAATCAAATGCAATCCAACTGTTCAACTGCCATAAAGTCTACTTTTATGTATCTATAATATCTATTCTCTTCCAGTAAATTGCATTAGATTGTGGCCACTGAGTGTAACTTATGTGTGTTCATAGCATGCTGAGGCCCTGTCCAGTCTGCGTTCTGAGATGGTGAGAGCCCAGACAGAAGAGCTGCGCCGTATCCAAAAACATGCAGATGACGAGAGGGACAAGCTGCAGAAGGAGATAGAGAAAGAGAGAGAAAACCTACAGAAGGAGAGAGAACAAGAAAAAGATCAGTTCGAGAAGGACAGAAACAGACTGCGCAGAGAGAGAGATGAGGAGAAGGAAGCGCTGCACAAAGAGGCAGAGGAAATCAAAGAACGTCTGAGGAGAGAAAAGGAAGAAGAGGTCGATCGGCAGCGGAAGGAGCTGGAAGTCGAGAGGGTTCGTGTCCGTTCGCAGTTGGACAAAAGCATTGAACAGGTGGAGGCGGAAAGAGCCAACGTGCAGCAGCAGCTTGAAGAGGAGAAGAAGAGATTGGTGGAGAAGGCTGAGGAGGACAGGAAACGGCTGAAGGAGCAGGTCCGGAAGGCGATAGAGGAGGTGATGAGGAGGCATGCAGCCGAACTTCACAGCGTCCAAGAAGCTCTGATCTCCGAGAAAAAGACCAACCAAGAGGTCAGCATCAGCAGTGATATAACTAGTGACCACTACTAGAAATAGTGAGGCACAAATCGGTGAAGTACTGCACACATAAGACACAAGCATTGAAACCTGCACACAAGATTACTAGGAGAATGTGTTAACACGCATTTAATATTTTATTCATTTTGAATATTTCTTCTCTTCTTTTGTATTTGTCAGAACATTTAGACTGAGCATTAAGCGTTAAGAGGACAGGCTCTGTAGTGAAAGAGGACACAGTTTTTCCATAACGTACTCTTATATCTGAATTTAAAAATAGCCTGCTGTTCAGCTGTGGCAGCCAGCTCATATAGGCTTAATTATTTTAGTTTCGGTCTCAGTCAGACTTTGGATTTAATTATTTTGGATATGAGGACAAATCGCTATGAGAAATTTCCCCTTTCATCTCGTCACACAGCTGCAACAGCAATACTTTCGAGATTCTCCAGCTGAGATCAAGCTGTGTTAATCCATGAACCTGATAAAGGTTGTTTTTGTTTGCATCAAGTTTAAGAAATAAGGCTACTGCAGTAACTAGGTTATTAAATTAGTGTTGGACGCTGTTTTACTCAGACAGGAGTTGCCCACTTAGTCTAAAAGAGTTGTTTCCAACATTTCAGGCTTGTGACCGTTTAAATTGAACCCCTACTTCTGACCTGATGTCAGCAGCTGCATATGTCATAGATAATGGCAGGGAAACTGAGAAATATTGGCCATAAAACTGCATCATGCATTATTTGAACTAAAACTAATTACCTTAAGTTTTGAGCCCTTATGAACCTTTCAAGCTTAAAAAAATCGTTCAGACACCATCTGTTGCAAAAACGCAGACTTCTGTGACTTTATCTTCATCTTTCGCTTTGTCTCAATGTGTTCCTTTTGGTGGCTTAACCCTGGGAATGTGTCATCTCTAATAACATGTAATGCAGATGTTTTTTGTCGCAAAAAAAGACAGACATTGTGTAGAAAGCACCAAGTAGTAGTAAGCTGGTTTGATTTGATTTGCTGATGTTAGGTGAAGTGGACAGTGAAGGTCCAGCTGGTACACATTAAATGCACTGCGATGTAACCCTGGCATTACGATGTGACCCCAAGTTATTTTTCCACCAAACTCTAAATTTACTTCTATTTGGTGCTTAATTTTGGAGCCTGGTCATAGATTTATAACCAGGTCGACCATAAGATACATTTTATCCAGTTTTATTTGAATGTTTTTTCATATCTAAACTATTGTGTGTAGCATACATTTCTTGTCTGATCTGCTGTCCTGTTAATCGCATTGAGGGGTCCCCACCCCACTGGTTGGGAACCACTGGTCTAAAAGAGCATGTTTAATGAATACTTCTGAACTAAGTGTAAATGTAGAAATATAAAGAGATTTTATCACATAATTGCCTGCCCTTTGAGCCTTCTTATAATGTGCACTTCGTCGTGACTAATTATTAATTAGGCTTAGTAATAGTGAGATGATAGTATGGTTGGGTTAAAGGCCTAAAAAGAAGATAAGTCGTTAATGTAATAATGGTTTTGATGAGGGTGAATTTTCTTGGAAGGTGTGTGCTCATTTGGAAGAACAGAGGAGGACCAACGAGGAGCTACGCAGCAGACTGGAGAAGGAAAGGGAGGAGCTGAGGACAAAACTGAGAGATGCTAACAATGAGGTCAGAGGTCAAATTACAGGAGTGTGTATTTTTTACCACATAAAATGATTTATAATATCAGTTATTACACTTGTAATATGTGAAGTGAAAAGTCTCTGCGCTCCCAGATCTGTAGGCTGGAGTCACTGATCCAACAGCAAGACAAGAAAGAAAAGGTAGGCCCTGAAGCTGCATCCTCATGTGGACCACAGTGCTCTCGTCTGGAGGAAGAGCTTCACCAGACTCGGAGTCGACTGGCTCGGACACAGGAGGAGGCAGAGAGGCAGCGGGACCGGCAGCAGAGAGAGATCGCGTCCCTGAGAGCTGACAAACACCGGCTGGAGGAGAAAGTCCTGGAACAGAGCCGACTGAACACGGAGAGGAGCCTTCTAGACCAGGGCCAGCGGCACACCGAGGACCGGATCAGGTAGCAGAATAAACACCAACCTGCCAGAACTGCTTAGGCTCTACATTACAAAGTCTTGACTCTTGCTTTGTAAACACCCCCTGCCCTCCACTGGGGAAGATCAAAGCTGAGCTGAGCTACCGCGTCTTTTTCCTCTCTTCAATGCAAGGCTTTTACCAGTGTTATATCAGAACAAAACATGCCAAGAAATTATCTGCAGCAATAAAACGACACATTGTGGTACAAACAATACATTAAACTGTGTTCAGTACATCAAAATTAAATTAAATCAATATGACAATTAAAATAAACATTAGCCCTAATGGTTTTCAGAAATCCAGTTGGTCTGTCATGTCTCATGTAGTGATTCTACATATCTAGCAGCTTCTTTTTCACTATATATTGACTATGATTAGTGTATACACACACTAAAACAAGTGTGTTTAATCACTCTAAAATGGCAGTTTAAATGACATGACATCATTATTGCTGCATGAGGGTACTTTCCTATTCTGAGGTCTTTTCTAAGCAAAGGCACACATTTACAAAACCTGTTAGCTAAAAATGTACAGCTTTCTGCTCTAGTAATACAAGCAGGGAATTCCTAATCTCTTAATATGGACGTTTTTGAAATACAGTTATTAAGAGATGTGAGAAATAATCAGGTTACCACCACGTCTACTAAACCTAAAACTTTGAATAATAGTCCTCTTATAATAGGCTAGAAGCACAAGCAAACAAGACACTATAAAATGATTACACAGAGGAGAGTAGCGAGAAAAAATAAATGGTAATTTTGCATGTAGGTTAACTACTGCCTCACTTCTTGTTCTGTTGCATGCCTCCAGGCTAGAGTGCGAGGATCGTCTCAGAGCAGAGTTCAGGATAGAGATGAATGCTGCTGTTGCTGAGAGTGAACAGAGATGGCAGAGCAGGGAGCAGGAGCTCCAGACCCAGATATCTGAGCTGCAGAATGAACTGAGCGAGCTGCAGTCACAGGTGAGTCTCCTTCTCAAACCACCAGGAACCATCGGTCTTCAGTATTTTCACTGAAGGTATCTGATTGTTGCCTGACAAAGAGAGATGAACTACTCACTTTCTGAAGCTACTTTTGTTGGTTAACTGCAGCTAGCAATTCATTTCCTTGTTTGATTTTGTCAGTTGGCCAATTTTTCTGAATAATGTCAGAAAATAGTGAAATATACCCAAGAGTATGTCTTTGAGATGCTTGTCTTGACCAACTAACAGTCCAAAACCCAAATATATTCAGTTTTCTATCATATTTGATGGAGAAAAGCAGCAAATCCCCACACTTAAGAAGCTGGAACAAGCAAATATTTGGCATTTTAACTTGAATAAGATGGAAACTATTGTGGATCAGAGATGATTCTCCACCTTTATCTGCCTTCCAAATGACATTTACTGTGTCACATTTCATTTGGGTTATATGGTTACGTCTGACTGGTCGGCTTATGGTAAATACATTTGTATAATGACCTCTGTGGCTCTGATGGAGCAGGCCTGAGAAAATAACCCGGATGATGTTACCCGGGAGCTTTGGTCTGGAGACTAAACATTCTTTAGAGAAAGCCTGCGTCACAAACTGGGATGTGGAGTTTGAAAGATGTGGTTGTTTACCAGGCAGGAAGGGTAAACGAACGAAACACTGCATTATGTAGGATCCTGCGTTTTTTTAATTTGACCATTCCCTAACAAGTGCAATATTAAATCACTGGAGTATTCTTTTAATTAGTTCCATAAGCCTGTTGTGAGTGCACAATGAAGTCTGTGTTTTATTTATTTATTTTAAGAAAGCTGTCTGAGTCTGCAAATTCTTAAACAAAAGCCACGTCTCCATTTAATTCAACGGTTGCTGCAAATCCATCATCTCAGGATTACTTTTACTGCATACAGAGCACTTGAAATCCTTTGCTCACAATTTTTCGCCAATGCAGGCGGAGAAAAAGAAGGCGGGCCCGGGAGACGATAGCCATGGCAACCCCGAAATTGACAGGCTGAGGAAAGAGGTCCAAGACACCAAGGAGATAAACAAGAAACTAAGGGAGCTGCTCCAGGTATTTTTCAAAAATCGTATGTACTCTTGTTTGTAGGTTTACTCTGTGATGAATAATTAAGCAGCTTTGATGGTGGTGCTGCAGTGAAGTACTCATGCATTTATCCCCAGTTAAGTACAGTACATCTGTAGTGTAAAGACTGGCTTGTGCAGCTATTGTAAAAGGACGACATGTGTGTTAATGTTGTCGGAGGAACCCCAAACCCAGTCTTCTGCTGAGGAGAGACACAGTCACGCCATGGCTCTGCAGGCGTTAGAGAGACAGGCGAAAGAAGATGTGCTGTCTGAGAGGAACAGACTACAGACGATGCACCACCTGGAGCTAGGTATCACACACATGCACACAAACATTCAGGCATGAGCATTTGTAAAAGCACATGCAGACAGTGACATGTTCTGTATAACACACACACACACACACACACAGAAGCTGCATGGACAAAAAAGCACACACACACAGAGCGATATACACATTGAGATTATAAATTCAACAGTGAAGTTGCTATTGCCATGGATACACTTCACCATGGCAACAGCAGAAGGGTACCTGTAACAGTGGGCCAAATTGATTTTGTTTTCTGTATGTGGTTCTGTGTGTGTGTGT